TTTAATTGTAAAACAAAATCTACATATACTCATTTAATTGTAAAACCAAATCTACATGTACTCATCTCATTTAATTGCAAAACTAAATCCACAAAGTACACTATTTCATCTCCATTTTCCTGATTGGAAAGTGGAGGCATACAGAGACCACAAGTGGCTTGCTCAAGATCACATGGGATGACAGAGATGAAATTTGAATCTGGGCTGATAGGCATAGGCTGCAGGGTCTTGAGACTAAGCCATTGTGCCTTCTGCCCCTAAAACTGAAGCTGGGAGGAAGGTGCTTCTCACACGGCAGCTCTACGTCCTTCCTGTGAGGCTCTGTTCTCTCGCCTTCACCTCCTGACCGGCAAGGCTCTGCTCTCTCTCGCATGTCTGCCTGCAGCCACCCATAGCCCCATCTCTAGACTCTCCATGTTCAGGGGCTTCCCATCTCCTGCCTCCTCGTTACTTCAAAGCGAGGCTGAGTTCAGGACCAGAAGGCCCCAGTGTGGCCAGAGCCTGCCTGACATAATGGAGATCATGTCCCCAGGTCCCCACAGCAAAGCCTCTGAAGGTCCCAGCTCCTTCCTGTCCACTCTGCTGGGTGGGCGGGAGGTGCTGCACTTCACTACCTGATGTCTGAGCCCCACAAGGAGCCAGTCCCGTAAGTTTGGAGTTTTTCTCCCTAGGGTTGCCAGATCAAATACAAGGGGTGCAGTTAAATTTAAATATCAGATAAGCAAACACTTTTTTAGTATACAATTAAAAGGGAGGAGGAAGAAGGGGTGAACATTCCCTGGAGTGAGCATTCACACTAAAGACACAAAGTTTAAGCCTGGCGTGGTGGTTCATGCCTGTAATCCCAGCACTTTGGGAGGATCGCTTGAGGTCAGGAGTTCGAGACCAGCCTGGCCAACATGGTGAAACCCTGTCTTTACAAATAATACAAAACTTAACCAGGCATGCTGTCGTGTGCCTGTAATCCCAGCTACTCGGGAGGCTGAGGCAGGAGAATCACTTGAACCTGAAGCAGAGGTTGCAGTCAGCCGTGATTGTGCCACTGCACTCCAGCTTGGGCAACAGAGCAAGACTCCGTCTCAAAAAAAAAAGACACAAGAGTTTAAACCTGAAATGACATGAAGACTTAAGTGACCAGCGAAAAAGAATCAGAGAAAGTTGTGTCACTGCACCTCGGAGTCCTGTGGTGATTGAAGTCCATTCAGCACAGGCGCTTAGGACCTGTGGACTTGGGCAGAGGGCATTGTAAGCAGCTGGAGAGCAGGAGAGGCCCGAGACGGCTTATCTCTGCTTGACAAAGCCCGGCATATGGAGAGGACTGAACATTTTAATGAGGGTGGACCTCGGCCAGTTGTCTAGTTTTCAGGTCTCACTGTAAAATGAAAATGTGAAGCCTCTAGTTCAAATCTATTAGGGGTGTGGTGGTGCGTGCTTGTAGTCCCAACTACTCAGGAGGCTGAGGTGGGAGGATCATTTGAGCCCAGGAATTTATAGTTGCAAAGAGCTACTGCACTCTGGCCTGGGTGACAGAATGAGATCCTGTCTCTTAGGAAAAAAAGTAATTAATTTAAAAAAAGAAATGTATTCAGAATTTAAAGATGACAAGAGCAGAGTGTCACACCAGCTGGGGAGGGGGGACTCTTGGCACCAGGCCCTGTGTGAAAACACAGCTCAGATGCAAGGGAACCCAACCCCGGCATAGGCTCAAAGTGCTGCTGTACATTTGGCAAGGAGTGGGCACAGCAAACTGAGGGCGGCTCCCCCGCTGCTTGGGGGCCATCCTCTGGAAAAGCCTCACTGTTTGCCTCACTGTTTGGAATTGAGAGAGATTCTGCACTCTATCCCCTATTCCTTTCTCATTTTTTTTTTTTGAGACAGTCTCACTGTCGCCCAGGCTGGAGTGCAGTGGCACATTCTCGGCTCTTCGGCCTCAGCCTCCCGAATAGCTGGGATTACAGGTGCCTGCCACCAAACCTGGCTAATTTTTGTATTTTTAGTAGGAACGGAGTTTCACCATGTTGGCCAGGCTGGTCTCAAACTCCTGACCTCAGGTGATCTGCCTGCCCAGCCTCCCAAAGTGCTGAGATTATAGGCGAGAGCCAGTGCACCTGGCTGAGCTCCCTATCTTACTGGTGCAGAAAGGAATGTAATGCCCTGGTTCGGCCATGGCCACTGTTCAGGGTGGTAGAATGGGGATATCTTCCCAGGACCTCTGTGTTTCTGTGTCACCCCTCCCACCCTGGCTGAATTCTGGGGAGCTTTGGTTCAAGGAGGGAAAGGGGCAGTGTCTTTTCTCCTTGGTTGGGGGCTTTCTGGAGCCGGGAGCATCTGGCAGGGCCATAATGGGCGCCCACGACTCCAGCTTCCCTGGGGGGCAGGGCAAAGTGCCCAGGGATGAAGGGAGAAAAGAAGCTAACTTTCCCTCCTGGAAGATGCCACAGGGAGACAGGAGGGAAAACCAAGGAGGGAGTGTCAGGTTACCACTTGGCTCCCGAGGCTGCAAGAAAGACAGGGCCCTCCTTCCTGTGGCGTTCCTGAAAAGTTTGCCCGGGGTCCACGCATTCCCAGGCATCCTGGCTGCTGAGCCTGTGGGTACGATCTCACTACCAGGCCAGCTGATGCCGGCAGTGCCACTTCTGAAATGGGCAGGGGATGTGTTAGCCTCCAGGCCAGACCGCAGACAGTTGCGATGTGCAGGAACAGTGCAGAGGAAAGCAGGAGCCTTAGCGCCTCCGCCTGGGGAATGGGAGGGGTGGGTACGCGTGAGGATCAGGTGGGTTAAAACGTGTCAGGTGTCTCTAGCAGCACGAGGCCCACAGAATTGCTAAAAAGTGTACTTAGCATTAATCATTATTATTATCATGAACATTTCTCTCTATGGAGAAAGGTTTGTGTAAGCCACTTACTATTAATTTTTGTTAATTATTATTAATGTTCTCTCTCCTTGGACACAGCTCTGTGTCTCTTTTTTCTGTTACTTTCACCTTGGCACCTCCCACACCTACAGCAACTGGCTCAATGAACACCTAATAAATGTTATTTTTCAAAAACATTAATTTAAATACATCTCAGTAAAATCCACCACTCAAAAACGGGAGGGTACTGATAAAGGAACATGATATCATGCCAAGCAACTAAACTGCTTTTTGTAAAGATTAAAGTAGCAGTTCAAGCTCCCCATAAAATCCTGGCTTTTTTCTCTTATGAACAACTGGACCAAGACTAAAAATAAAACCCCCAAAATTCAATGCCTGGGTGTATTTTATGACTGGGATTCAGCTTTTATTTGATTTCTCTTCTCAAAAAATATGCTCGCTTTGGTTAAGATGAAGTTTGCTTTATTTTACATAACTGAAAGTAAACAGACACCAGTGGGAAAGGGCCCAGAACTCGAGGCATGGGTGGACGCTGGTTCTCGTTGGTTCCAGGCTGGAGAGCCTCCAAATCAGCCCTGAGAGATGGGTGTTTGATGTGACCTGAGGTCTCCAGCCTCCACCACTTAGTGGCTTGGCTAGTTTCTGGCCACGTGGCCTTGGGAATTCCCTTCCTCCATGTGGTCCTTCCGTCTTGTCAATAATGGTGTAATAAAACTGTGAAGATGAATTAGAAGCCTCGGGGGCAAGTATTAATAGCTAGAAAGCTCGAGAATGCCATAGAAACAGGAATCATGGTGTACCGAGTGTTTACCTTCCATGTATTTTTCATCCACAGAGACTCAGGAAGGGGAAGGTGGGCAAGGGTTAGCATGTTTTCAACCTTCTTATGCTCCTCCCGCGGGGCTACAGCTCCCAGTATGAGAGAGGAATTCACATTTTTCGAATGCCTTCCCATTTAGTTCACTTAATTTAGTTTGCAGAGCACACCGTGAGCCTTAGGAAGGTGCAGAAACTGAGATCCAGGTTCTGCTAGTTCTTTCTTCAGGTTACATGAGTTGCCTGAGATCACACAGGTGGTTTGCAAAAACAAATCGTCCCAGCCCAGGGAGGTTCTGCCCCAAGGGGACACTTTGGCAATGTTTGGAGATGGTTATGACTGTCACTGCTTGGGTGGGGGAGGGAGGGTGCCAGTGGCGTGGGTAGATATCGGGGTGCTGCTGAATGTCCTGCAGTGCACAGGACAGACCCCCAGAACATTTTGAGCATTGTCCAAAATATCAATAGTGCCAAGGTTTAGAAACCCCATGCATGCTATGGGTGCGGTGGCTCCTGCCTGTAATCCCAGCACGTTGAGAGGCTGAGGCGGGTGGATCACTGGAGGTCAGGAGTTCAAGACCGGCCTGGTCAACATGGCAAAACCCTGTCTCTACCAAAAATACAAAAATTAGCTGGGTGTGGTGGCAGATACTTGTAATCCCAGCTACCTGGGAGGCTGAGGCAGGAGAATCACTTGAACCCCGAAGGCGGTAGTTGCAATGAGCCGAGATGGCACCACTGCACTCCAGCCTAAGAGAGCAAGACTCCGTCTCAAAAACAAACAGAAAAACCCGTGCTACAACAATTGCAGAACTAGTGGGGCGGGAACGTCTCTTACTCTGGGCTACGTGTGTGTTTCCAAGAGAAATGCTTCATTGGAGGTCTGAAGGGAGCTTCAGCACTGTGCTAGGCCCTGGCTACTCAAAATGTTGTCCCTAGATCAGCAGCAGCTGGGAGCCTGTTAGAAACTCAGACCTCACCCTGGACTTAAACTTTCAGAGCCTGCATTTTAACAAGCTCCCAAGTGATTCATGTGCTTGTTAAAGTTCGAGGAGGGCAGGGTCTGATTCATTCCATGCTGGACGGCCTGCAAACCAGCCCTGAGAGATGGGCATTTAACTTGGCCTTAGCTCTCACCAGGGCTAAGACCCACGTCAGGGCTTCCAGGGCTGACAGTCTCCCCCGAATCTGCCTTGTTCCCTGTCCTTCGACTGTCACATGAGCCCCGGTGATTGGGAAGGAAGAGCGCATCTGAGCTGGCTTATAATACCCTTTCCTGCTTTCCGCCCTGCCTCATCCCCTCTCCAGGCTTACATCCTGTTGGGACAATTCCTTCTGATGCACAAGAATGAAGCTGAGTTTCAGAGGTGGCTCATTTGCTGTTGTGGTGCCACTGAGTGTGAGGCCCAGCAGAGTTCTAACTGCCTCAAGGAGTGGTGCGCCTGCTTCCTGTAGACACAAACCTCGCCGCTGTCCCCCACCCTCAGGAGAAAATGATGCCCTCTCCACCTATGCCCAGGCTCTGAGTCCTCATTTATGTTTTTAATTTTAATGATACACACCCATTATAAGTAGTAGTTCAAGAACATGAAAAAGGACAAACACAAGAAAAATGACTCTCAAACCCACCACCCAGAAACCACAGTCACTCCCCTTAGATAAAGGTCATGTCAGATATGCCTTAGCAAAAAGTTTATATGAAAGAATGGATACGTTTATGTAAAAACGGGAATTGAATTTTAAGTCAGTATATTAGTGATCTGCTGCTGCATAACAAATAATCCCAACATGTAGCAGCTTCTCAAAACAGTGATACTGCCTCACTCCAAGTTCTTCAAATTTGGGACTCTGACTGGCTCTCCTTGCTCCTCAGCAAGGAGAGCCAGTTTAGTGGGCTGGTTCTGTCTCAGGCTCTCTCATGAGGTTACTCACTGTTGGCCCAGCAGCAGTAATCTGAAGGCTGGACTAGGGCTGGAGGACCCACCTCCAAGATGGCTCCCTCTCATGGCGGCTGGCAAGACACAATTCTTCACCATGCGGGCCTTCCCATAGGGCTGCTCCTGGCATGGCATCTGGCTTCCCCCAAAGCTGGTGACCCAAGAGAGAGTGAGAGAGCAAGCAGGAAGCCATGTGCCTTTTATGACCTCCTCTCTGACACATGCAATATCACTTCTGCCTTATTTTACTTGTTAGAAGCAAGTCACTAAGTCCTCAAGGGAGGATAATGAAACATTTTGAAGTAATATGCATACATATTTTAAAAGATCACAGTCAGGTTCTTGAGGCATGATTTACATATAATAAAACTTACCTTGTTCAGGTGTGCATTCTGTAAATTTTGACAAGTTCACCACCATCATCAAGATGTAAGACACTTTCATCACCCCAAGGAGGTCCCTTGTGCCTTTCTGTAGTCATCACTGCTCCCTTCCCAGCCCCTGCAACCATGAATCTGTTTTCCATCCTTGTGGCTTCGATTTCTCCAGAAAGCTATATAAACTGAATTATATATTATGTAGCCTTTTCAGATGGGCTTCTTTCACTTAGCATAATTCATCTGAGATTAGTCTATTATACAGGCTTTTTAGACTCAAAAAATGTTTATTAGATGCTATCAGAGCCCAGTCCACAACCTTTCTGTATTTGCTCTTCTAGAAGAGTCCAGTGACTTCCCCTAACAAACACCTGAATGTCCTCTGCCTGCAAGTCTCTCAGGCTACAAGAGTGGGGTCAGCCCACACATAGGGCAAAGGGAAAGTAGCAAGCAGTTAACACCCAGGAGAGCCCACAGTGATGCGTGAACAGTGATGGATAAATACCCTAGCTTACTTACCCTGCAGATCAGACGAACTCTGAGACAGTCTGTTTGAGCTCCCCAGCGGTGCTGAGCCCCAGTTGCCACAGTGGTTACCTGCTCTCGAACAGCTCATACATCTTCCCTTCCTTGTCTTGTTTCCCCACTCCACTACCAGTGTTTCCTGGGACCATGCCCTAATCCTACTCCCTAGAAAATAGTCAAATTTTAGATTCAGATTCTGCTTCTGGGAGAACTAATATGCATACATATTTTAAAAGATAATCAGGTTCTTGAGGCATGATTTACATATAATAAAACTTACCTTGTTCAGGTGTGCATTCTATAAATTTTGACAAATTCGCCACCATCATCAAGATGTAAGACACTTTCATCACCCCAAGGAGGTCCCTTGTGCCTTTCTGTAGTCATCACTGCTCCCTTCCCAGCCCCTGAAACCATGAATCTGTTTTCCATCCTCATGGCTTCGATTTTTCAACCTAAGACAAAAGTGTTAGAATTTAGTTTTATTTTAATAAAAAAAAAATTGAAACTGAAAGAATTGCTGAAATTTGATGAATGTTTTCTTCATCTCTAAATATAGTCATAAATTATTCAATCAATTTCCTCTGAAGTTAGGAATAATACGGAGGAAAACAGTAAGAGGTTAATATCATTAGGTTTATTTTAAACCTAATGTTTTCAGTGAAAGATGGTGTGATGGATAATACTGAGTGTCTACATGATTGGACTGAAGGATGCAAAGTATTGATCCTGGGTGTGTCTGCTGAAGGAGATTAACACTTGAGTCAGTGGGCTGGGGAGGCAGACCCATCCTCAGTCTGGGTGAGCACCATCTAATCAGCTGCCAGCATGAATAGAATATAAAGCAGGCAGAAAAATGTGAAGAGACTAGACTGGCCTAGACTCCCAGCCTACATTTTTCTCCCATACTGGCTTCCTGCCCTCAAACATCAGACTCCAAGTTCTTCAAATTTGGGACTCTGACTGGCTCTCCTTGCTCCTCAGCTTGCAGATGGCCTATTATGGGACCTTGTGATGGTATGAGTTAATGCTTAATGAACTCATATATATAGAGATCATATATATTATAGATCATATATTATAGATCATATATATGATATATATATCCTGTTAGTTCTGTCACTCTAGAGAACACTGATTAATACAGATGGTATGAATTCCTGCTATAAAAGTAAAAAGAAATTGATATTCATGCTTCTCTACTTCCCTCCCACTTTTATTGGCTTTATTATTACTTTTAATTTGTCAAGGTTTATGGCATTTAAATTCTTCCCACAATTGTTTAGTCTTAGTTGTATCTAAGAGCTTATCACCAATCCTTGTTAGTATCATTATTTTAAAGATCATCGCATTGCCACTCCTAAATTATTTATTTTGATAATGTCTTTGTTGGCTGACTTGCATCAGTGTATTTATCTATCAGTCAGAATAGGCCAGGTTCTGCTGCTGTAACAAGCATCCCCCCCACATTTCAGTGATTTACCAACACAGGTTAACTTCTCTGTCATGCTATATGTCCAATACATGTCATCAGGGAGCTCTGCCTGTTGTAGTCATTCTGAAACTTTGGTTAATGGAGATCCCCTCTCAACACACACTTCCATGATTATGCCCACAGTGGTGGGAAGGAACCATGCTGAATTACACACTGTCTCTAAAAGCCTCTGTCTAGAAGTGATACATTCTATTTGCGTTTATATTTCATTGGCCAAAGGGAATCATATGGCCACACCTAACTCCAAAGGGGCAAGGTCCCTTCTGAATGCAGAAGTGGGAACATTTAGTGATAGCACTAATCAAGATCATTGTAATCAATTGAGTTTATTACTTTTTTACTTGCTAATGTTTTCTTGAAAAAAACAAAAACCAACCAAAGTTTATTATTTTCCCCTGAAAGCCTTGCAGGTATTATGTTTAAGGTGATGGATATTTCCTAAATTCATAAAGTGATTGGAATAGTTCTACTGGAGTCTGTTAGCTCTTTCTAGCTCTGATTTTGTTGCTCTCTCCAAGGAGAAACCAAAGAATCAACAATTCCAGGAGAGCCAGTGTGTTGGCGCTCCTGGAATTGTTGATTCTTTGGTTTCTCCTTGGAGAGCCCAAAGATTTAAATATCTCCATTTCCTGGGAGCTCCAGATCTCATCAGCCAGAGGCTTTCCCTTGCTCCATCTTGCATGGCCTGTCCTTGGACTAATTTTTCACTAAAATAATCATAGTATTTAGAGGTCACTACTTTTCTAAGACAGGAGCTGGATGGCTCTAGGGGAAGGAAAGAGAATGGTTCCTTCATCTCTCAGTCGATTTCCGCATGCCTCCAACATTGCTGAAATTCATCCTTGTAGCCAGGTTGATGTCCAGGATCATGTGGGAGGGCCAGGGAGCTGAGAAACCTGGAAGAGATGGGGCCCCAGGACTGAAAAGCCTTTATAAGAGGGACCCTAGAACAGATACTGAAGACAAGAGTAGCTGTTCCCTATTTAGTGTAAAAATCTTCCCAAAGACACTAGGAACTTTCCCCATCAGTCATTCATTCCCTTGTGTTGATTTTGGTCACCCTTGTAGAGTTTATTGACCTAGATTCTTCCCTTCTCCCTTCATTCCCCAAGTTTGTCATGTGACTTTGTGGTTCCTCCCACTAGAGGCGGAGTATAATTCCCAGCTCCTTGACTTAGACTTGGCCATCTAACATGCTTTGGCCAATGATACACGGCCAAAGTGAAAGTGTGCCGATTCTGAGCCCATCACTCATTTCTACTTGCTCTCTTGTGCCTCCAAGGGGAGAGCTACTCCCTTGTATAATTGCTGCCCCTTCAGCCTGGGCCCCAGAATGAAACCAGGTGAAACTGACCTGAGCCGACCTGCTGCCAGGACCCAAGGCCAGCCTGCCCTGCAGCTTGATGCAAAGCTGCCCCTCTGAGTCCAGCCTAAATCAGCCAACCCTCAGCCAACTCATAGATGTGTGAAGGAGGAAAAAAGGATTGCTATTTAAAGCCACTGATGTTTGGGACAGCTGTCTATGCAGCACTATGTAACTGATACATTCTTTGCAGTCTAAAATGTCCTTACCCTGCCAAAGTGTGCCACACTGAAGTCCACCCCACCTTCAGATGGAGAAGCAGCCTAGGGTGGGGTAAAAAACTGCTTCTGGAGCCAGCCAGCCATGGGTGTGAATTCCAACTCTGCCAACCCCTACCTTATCCCGGGCGAACTACTGCAACCTTGCTGAGCCTCTATCTCCTCATCTGTAAAATGGGTCAAGAAGGTAACAACCCTGACTTGCAGGGTGGATTATTGAAAACGCACATATAGGCCGGGCACAGTTACTCACATCTGTAATCCTCACACTTTGCGGGTGAGACTCTGTCTCAGAAAAATAAAAAACTATGTGTAAAGGATGCGGTGAATAGGGACAGGAAGAATGGCCACTGACGGCCGTTTTCTTAGAGCTCTCCTTCCAGTCCTTGCCTCCTGTGCTCTTGGTCCTTTCATGGCCCTTGGGAGAGAATTCACAGCTGCGAGTTGAAAGGGAGCCCAGATATCAACTTATCCAAACTAGTCCAATTTTGTCCCACCATGTGAGTACTGGACACTGTATAACTTAGAGACTATACACTCTTTAATGGGGCGGTGGGTAAGAAAGAACAACAGATGAAAATCAAGTTATTGCAGATTT